CGTCCGATACAATCCAATCCTAACAGAAGCGCGCACCAGGCTTCTGCTGAACATGAACCTCCCTCAACTTCTCCCACATCTTCAACGGATCCATCTTCACCTCCTTCACATGCACCTTCTGCCCATCCTCCAAAGCCAACCATATCTCTCCAGCAGCTCTCCCCTTTCGCGCCTCCCACTTCCTCTGCTCCCTCTTGTCTTCGATGGTGGGTGTAGTCTCCGAGTAGAGCTCAGGATGTCCAACTGGGAAGCTGGCAGGCGTCCAGATACACACAAAGATGCCTGAGTCAAGCTCTATTAATGCTAAAGAAGTACAGAAATATACAGAGGGACATACCTGAGTCAAGCTCTATTAATGCTAAGGAAGAGAGCTTGACTCAGGAGCGCATTTTCGCTCTTCTGGGAGCGTGGGAACCAACTGTACAGTATGGGAAATGGAAGGGAAAAGCGCAGAGTTAAAGAGGCTAAGTCACCAGTGTAAAGGAAGCCAAAATAGCAAAGTGGTTACCACCACTAGCAGGGATGCACACCTGGAGGTTTTGGTTCAATCCCCAGTCAGCGCACTTTTTACCTCCAATATACTGCATGGAAGAGAAACAAGACCAAGCCAGATGTGTCCTATTTTCGCATTTTTGGTTGTTTGGCCTATGTGTTGGTCAGGAAGGACCAGAGGAAGGCTTTACAGCCTCATACTCGCAAATGCATCTTTGTTGGCTATGCTGCTGACGCAAAGGCTTGGGAGTTCTGAGACCCTGTCACACAGAAGTTTTATATCAGCAGCAATGCTGTTTTCGATGAAAGGTGCTTTCCAGGCAACTCCAAGTCAATCAATGTCTTTGGATTGCCTCTATCTGATGTAGATATCCCTCACACTGACGGTGAAGAGGCTTCTGCGCCTAACAACCTCACTGGACCATTGCCAGATCAGGGGGGAGTTGATTCTGATGACGATGATCTGCCAGCTCCACCTCGTCCTATTACACCACCTCCAGCGCCTCCAGCGCCTTTACACCCGCCACCAGCTCCTAGAAAGCCCACACCAGCACCAGCTCCTAGACAGCTTCCACCTCGCAGTTCTCGCTTCCAAGGCTCCCTTAGAGAGCATGAGAAGCTGAATGAGGTCTTGGTCAAGTTGGGCTTCCAGAGACTGGTGTGCGAGCACAGTGTGTGGGTGTACAGAAAAGGCGAAGTCAGGATGTTCATTCCTGTCTTTGTGGACGACATCACCATTGCAGCCAAGTCAAAGGATGCCATTGCCCAGGTCAAGTCTGACTTGAAGTCCCACTTCAAACTTCGCGATTTAGGCCCTACCACATGGCTACTAGGTGTGCAGATAGAGCGGGATAGATCAAAGCGGTCCCTTAGCATCTCACAGCGCCAGTATGCCATGGATGTCTTGCAGCGCTATGGCTTCAGTGACTGTGATCCTGTCAGCACTCCTATGGACCCTGGATCGAACTTGTCCTCTGAGATGTGCCCCAAGACCAGGGAGCAGGAGTTGGACATGAAGGACATCCCCTATGATCACGCTGTTGGTTCTCTGTTCTATCTCGCAGTTGCAACACGTCCAGACATAGCCAAGACTGTTGGAGTCCTTGCTCGCTTCACCAAGAATCCAGGGATGCAACACTGGAAGGCAGTCAAGCACTTGCTGCGCTACATCAAAGGCACCCTGGACTACAAACTGACTTATGCACCCACCTCTGGCTCTGAGCTGTTTACCTCCTATGTCGATGCTGATCATGGAGGGAACTTGGACAATGGCCGGTCCACTACTGGTTTTGTTATCAAGATGGGTACTGGTGCTATCTCCTGGAGCAGCCGCTTACAGAGCATTGTTGCGCTCTCTACCACTGAGGCTGAGTATGTGGGTGCTGTCTCTGCTGCCCAGGAAGTGCTCTGGCTTCGAAATCTTCTTTCTGAATTTGGTTATGACATGTCCTCCCCATCCACACTTTATATTGACAACCTCTCTGCTCTGTCTGTTGTGAAGAACCCAGAGCACCATGGCCGCATGAAGCATTTGGATTTGCGCTTTTACTGGCTTAGGGATGAAGTCGCCAAAGGCAAACTCAAGATGGTCCACCTGAGGACTTCAGACATGCCTGCGGATATCCTGACTAAATCCTTGCCTAGGCCGAAGGTCTTAGAAATGGTGAAGATGCTTGGATTGGGGAAGTGACCAGTCAGGGGGGAGTGTTGAGATCTGATGACTTGGTCACTCTTTGTTGACTGAGTGGCTCATGGAATGGCCTAGGCGCTTCTAGGCCGAGTTACCTTGTTCTGAGCCACTCCCTTTGTTGTGAGCCACTCCCTTTGTTGTGAGCCACTCCCTTTGTTGTGAGCCACTCCCTTTGTATTCCTTGTATTCCTTGTTATCCTTGTTCTTCTTTGTATTTCGATGTTCCCTTGTTCTGTCCTTGTTCTTTGATGCCCTTGTATTCTACAGTATATAAGGGCTCCCTAGGTCGCTCTGTGTCCCCCAGTCTTGACACAGTTTGACCTAGGTGAGTCTGCCACTTGTATTCCTTATGCCAGAATACAGTCTTGACACAGTTTGACCTAGCCCTTGGGTGTTGTCTGAAGCTAGTATCTTCCACTACCAACAGATAATTAGTCACAAAGGTATTCTTCCGGGTGACTTCGGAGCGTCTGGCTGCGGAGATAAATCATATTGGTGATCTGCGCCTGCCTTGAGGACATTAGAAGGTCCGGAATTAAATCCAGAACCCTTCGTCAGTTATTTGTAGCGTAAGAGGTTCGACAGGTGGTGTTGAATAAACTTTGGAGGGGATGTACGATGTGTCAAATTCGCAATTTCGGGGGTCAGAAGATCGTTGGGGCTTATCAGTGTCCAGACATTGCCAAGTCTGTTGGTGTTC